TGAAGTTAATTTTTTTACAGGGGGTCAAAATACTTAAGAATAAGTTGTTTGCAGCCGTGGCACTCTGATTGGCCAGGGAACACTATCTGGCTCCTAATCTACAACATACTTTAAATATGTAGATAAAGATTTTTACTTTGTACAATATTTAAAATGAGTACATTATTAATTACTATTCTATAATCGTTGATTTTGACCGTCGGTAAGCATTCCACTTTTTAGGCTTTTATCCAGCTGTCAATTTGTTTAGGAGTGTAAAATCTTTGCTGTCTCTGATAATGTCCAATATATTTTGACAACCCTTTTATTTTGTCCTGTTAGTTTTTAAGGCCAATTTATGAATTGTTTCTATTTTTGTTCACATAGATTTAAAAACTTTAAAAGTTTCGTTGATGATATTCGAACTTGTATGTCTGAACATAAAACAACAGATAGTTTAAAAATTTTTAGTGAGTTTTTTCTATAACTAGGTACAGTTGACATTCGAAAAAGAAATTAAAATATAATTTCTTTATCCAACACTTGTATATAATGATACTATAATGTCTTTGGTTTTAAAGGAATAATGTGGCCTATAACTCACTAGTGAGTTTATAAGTCATAAATCTCTAACGAAATAAATGAAATAGACCCCTGAGTTTGGAAACCGATATTAAGAAAACGTGAAATTTGGACCATATATAGCCTCACTATTACTCTACTGTGTGCTAAAACAGTTAGTTTCGTTATCTCATTTTTTAGTTATGAATGAAAATGTTGAAAAAATCACGGTTTTCTGCCTACAAAATTGATACCTCAAACTTTAACTCGCCGTAAATTTTTTGTTAATTGATAAAAAATTCCAAATTTTTACTGACCGTCGAACTATATTGTCTTTAGTACTGTGAAGGTCGTTTGTCTCAAAAGCTCTTCTTTTTTTATTTTTAAGCAAAACTGAAGGGAGTACTATCTCCGTAAATATTGCATTCTGTAAAAAAAAGAAAAAAACTGACTCAACTAGTAAATAATTGTAAACAATAATCTGAAAAAATTTGTTAAAATAATACAGTTATAAACAGGCCCGGTCTGGCTCATTCGGGGGCCGTCGGGAAACATCGAAATCGGGGCCTATTTGGTTTTGTCTGTTATTAGGGTGCATATCGACTCTCCCAAGGAAAACTGTCGTATCTCAAATTTGGTTGTACTGAGATAATTGCATTTGAATACCTTAGAAAATAATAATGTTCATTATTTTTTTTCAGTACAAGAGCTAAATCGTTCTTTAACAAAGTATAATTATTGTTTAGGTCTTAACTAATTATTGATGATCTAAATAAAATAGTTTAGGATAAGAAAAAAATGGATTTTGAAGGAGTTACTACAGTTTTCGTGGACAACATTTTTATTGAGAAACAACTTGCTACACTAATAAGGTACAGAAAAATTAAACATTTTCTATTTTTAGATAAAAAAAATAATTGTTAATAATCAATAATGACATAAAAGGAAAATTTATTACGATTCAGTCATCTTCTTGGTCAATATTACTTTCTTCCTGGTGGTCAGTGTTACTAGCAGGCCGAAGGGAGTTGTAAAATCCATGATACATCGGTGGTATCAAATTAGCCTTACACAGACCCAAAACACTGCTTAATTTTTTACCGTCAATTGGCAGAAAACCTTGATACAATCTCGGAAATTGATATTCTTCGCGTTTGCGTGTGTTTTTTGTTTGTAAGTCTAGTACTTTATGATTTTCTCCAAAATTATACACAAAAAATACTTTATTGGGACTTCCCTGATTTTGCTGATTTTTACAGCCTCTCCAGTAATATCTTTTTTCCAGTTTTGTTTCTTTACCATTGGTTTAAAAGTTACAAAATCTTCTTGAGACATTTCTTTTTAATTTGTACTGTGGGGCAGTAACTTTGGCTATTTTTATTAGACTAATCCACTGAGAACTATCAGGAGTGTATATAGCTGTCATTTTATTCTGCGTGTGGCCAATTTCAAGAAAACGGTGTGTTATTTCCAAATTCAAAGTCATTAATGCATAAGCAAATATCGCAAAAACAAAACGATTACGGTTTTGACCACCGCAATTGTCGGAATAAAGAATAATCTTTCGTATGCCATTTTCTTTAACCTTTTTAAAACGATCCATAAACAACTTCCAATTTCATCCGGTCCTCTCTTCGATATTTACTCATGCCTTTCATGGCAATAGCCTTGATTGCTGCCTAAATCATAAATTGTAAAGTTGTATTTGCGATTTTACTTTTTTATCATAAAAATCGCTGACTTCTGACTTGGGCGTTACTAACACCTTCTGCAAATTAAAGCATGCTGTTATTAGAGATTTATCATTTTTCGAAAATTCTTTATCAATGTCTTTCAGATTTCGAAACGCGATTTTGTTTAAATTATGATTATTATAATCATCTTCCATTTTTTCTGTTCTCTTCTCGGGATCTGTATTCTTATAGCCACTACACACGGAACACTCTTTTTTTGTATTGTCTGAGTGTAGCTACTTCATCCCATTTTTGTTGTTTTGCATATTCTAAATACATTCTGTGCATTCGTGAAATACTCAAACTTTCTCCCAAGTACATTCATTTTAAGTTTTTTCCTGTATAATGAGAAGGCATAAGTGGGAAAAGTTTTATGTGTTCCATAATGATTTTTATTAGAGCATCCGGGTTGACAGAAGCTATATTTACATGCTGCCATCTGGATCGAGCTTGCAAGGCAAACTCTCCCATCCATTTTCAGCCAAATTAAAGCTTATTAGTTATTTCAAGCACCATCTTTAAAATATTAAAAATATACTTTTAATATACTTACCCCTGCAGTACTTATTCCGTTTTTAAATAATTTTTTTAACAGAAAAAAAAATCATTGGAATAGGTGACTTTGAATCGTCATTTTTCCGGCTCCAGTACAATCTACGAATATCTATTTGCAGTTCAAATTAAACCTCATTTCAAGCGCTGTGCCGCTATCTGTAGGAATATAAGTATACTTACCACTGCAGTACTTATGCCGTTTTCACAGACTTTATTTACGCTATAGCTCTATAGGCTACGTTCAAACTATTATTGGTTTTACAATTATATAAAATTATATTAATATAGGTAATAAACTTAAACCTATCGACCCAGGTTACAAGAAATCAATAATAGTTTGGACATAGTCCGAGGGCTCTAAAAAATTTTAAAGCCCTCGGTTATTATTTGTATTCTCAATTTTTCTGCCGAGCACATAACTTATACGGCTATAGGATAAAGGGTTATTATAAGGTTAAAAGAATTACAGTTTGGGAGATATTAATTTCTCTCGTTTTTCCTCCCAGCCCACGGCATATAGATAAAGAGTTATTAGTTTAAAGGGCTTACGGTTTGGAATATATATTTATTTCTCTCCTTCTTTCCTGTAGGTACACTGTTTATAGGGGTATAGGGCAAAATAAAAAAAATTGTGTTTTTCATTTTTAAGTTCTTTTTTCTTTTCAATTTACGGTGGCTATATCTCAAGAATTTACAAAAAATTTTCTTATACTTTTGGCGCCTCGTTAGTCGTTTATCGCCTATCTTCCAAAATAAGTCGGGTTTTGCCGACCTGGCCAGACCGGGCCTGGTTATAAAGGCTGTACTGTTTTATATACCTAAACATTTCCCATCGTGACATACATACCGTAACACACTAGTACCATAAATAACTATTTCTTATTGGTTATGGGAACTTCTTACTATATTATTGTTAAGTACTCGTATTACAGGTTGGAATAATAAACTCACTTTTTGAGAAAAAAATTTAAATTTTCATTCTCTACATTCCGTTTCTCAAGAATTAAATGTAATTGAAATCCTAAAAACAAGGATCTTCTTGCATGTTTCACAGAAAGAATTAACGTTTAATTAATTCTCAATCCATAAAAAATAATTGTCTTGTAAAATTATGAAAGGGAATACTGTTTTCAAACACTCAGGGATCACAAAAAACAATTTGACAACATAAATTATTAAATTTTATAATATGTACACAAAAAATATTAACTAAATTAAAAAATTACATTTGAACTTGAAAATAACACTATTTATAAAATCGGATACATATTGTACAGATTAGTAGATACTTAAAAAAACAAATTTCAGAACATAGGGAAAGCATAAAACTTTAGTCATTGTTAAATAAACATAATAAAGCTCTTGTAGAACATGCTCAAAAATAATTAAATATAGGTACATACTTTTAAATTTGATGAAACCAAAATTTATTGACAAATAAAAAAAATTACCGGCAATCACTTTTGAAAGAAATGATTAATGTAAAAACAACATAAAAATAGTGTCAACAGAACGTAAGGTACATACTCAAAATTTAAATATATGCTATTATAATCTTACAGACAAAATTAAAAAATAATTATTAATTAATTATTTATTATTTTTTAATTTTGTCTGTAAGATTATAATAGCATATATTTAAATTTTGAGTATGTACCTTACGTTCTATTGACACTATTTTTATGTTGTTTTTACATTAATCATTTCTTTCAAAAGTGATTGCCGGTCATTTTTTTTATTTGTCAATAAATTTTGGTTTCATCAAATTTAAAAATAGGTAATAAAAATAAAAAACTAACTGACCACGTGATTTAGTTAGTTAATACATGTTGTTTTGAAAACTTCCCTAGTATCTAAGAAAGCACTTATGATTTTTAATTTAATATCGACTAACTCAAAATTAAATTATAAATTAATCTTTTATTATATTTTACATATTTTTAACTCCATAGTCATAAATGTGTAATTTTAGGCTAATTTTAATTATTGTGTTTGACATACATTGTTGTTCGTAGTCTTGAATATGTGGTAATAAAACAATGAATCGTCGATAATTACATATAGGTATTGGTTTTTCTTCCAAGACTGATCTAAAATTCAATTATCAATCCTGCAATAAATATGTTCCAAATTCTATCCTCCAGTTAGTTTAAATTATTATTTATACTTCAGAATATGGTGGATAATATCGTTAGTCCTTTCCGGGATATTTTGTGGACTGATGATTTACCAGATCCTACAAAAATACCTTAATTATCCCGTTATCGTAACATTTTCCATGCAGGAGGTCCACATGAACGAGATACCATTTCCTGCTGTTACCATTTGTCCAAGAACGAAAATATCTCAGAAATATTTCAATATCACTGACGCAACAATAAAAAAAATTAATAACCAAAGTTTTAGTGGAGAGACGTAAGTATATATGTATGGTTGTGGTGAAAGATTGGGTTTCATTTATAAATAGGTATAAATTAACATTGTCTACGTACTTAAAAAAAAACGAATATTCCCTTTTTAATTACATAATTCCTTAAGGGTATCCCTTAATCCGATTCTTAAACTTCTGAATATCAAAATTAACCCAAAAAGAATTAGATGTCAATACTGACTTCTTACGACTTTTGGCAATACTCACCTTTTACGAATTTTTTAAAATAGTGTAACCTAAAGGTTACACTTGGAGTGGACCATCAAGGTCACACTAGTGCGAATTGGGACTTTGTCAACTTTGAATCTTTATGTCTTCTTTATTTGTTAACGAAAACATAACGCATTTACGTAGGCTGCTGGAAAAGTTTCTGCAATCCACCACGTCCAGTGATACCAACATTCTGTCAGTGTGATATTTGAAAAATTAGACATTTCTAACCTATAAATCAATTGACAGTTTGTACTCAGCGAAGTAGTTTTGTATGCACAGTGTTTTAAAAGAAACTGCTCAATGTAAAAATGGAACTTTCACGTGAAAATTTCCGGGCAATGATTTACTATAATTACAGATATAGTCTTACTCTAAAACAATGCATCAATCGACTGTATTTGGCTTTTGGGGATGAAGCACCATCCGATAAGACACTGTATGATTGGTTTGGGGAATTCCAGTGTGGACGCACGTATGTTAGTGACGAATTTCGAGAAGATCGTCCATCCACGTCTGTTGTTGTCACTAATGTTGATGCGGTGTGTGGGATGATTGAGCGGAATCGGCATATGACATACCGCGAGATTCAGGCATCCTTAGGCATTGACATGAAAGTAATACACACGATTTTGAACGAACGAAAACTGTGCAGTCGCTGGATCCCACATAATTTGACCAACGCTCAAAAAGAGACTCTTGTTAAATGGTGCAAAGCAATGCTCAAGAAATTCAGCCGAGGCCAGTGAAATTCGGTCTACAATATCGTTACTGGTGACGAAACTTGGGTTTATTCGTACGAGTCCGAAAGTAAACAACAATCTACTGTTTGGATGATTCAAAATGAGTTGGAACCAACAAAAATACGCTTTCAGAACACTGGTTTCAGAGGTTACAGCTGCAGAGTGGAAAGCATGCCTCACTAATTGGTTTGAGCGTATGCAGCAGTGTATCGATCCCAAAGGCGAATACTTTGAAAAAGAATAAAACCATTTTTCAAAATTTACTTATGTTTTTTACATATCATTTGCAGAAACTTTTCCAGCAGCCTACGTATATCAAAATTGGGGCAAAATTTACCGACAAATCGAATGATGTAATTAGTTTTGAAAAAAAAAATTAATAAAAAATGCGATTGAAAAAAAAACATTTTTCGAAAAATTTAATTTTTTTAATTTACTTTTTTTAATAAATAATGGCTTGAGAAAAAGTAAAAAAATGAATTTGAAGTTCAAAGTCTATACTTAATTTTAAGAAACAAGTAGTGATTTTTCTGTAAATTGATGATTATTTTGCACTCTTCTGTATAAAAATATTAATTTAAACAATATTATTCATAAATATTGACAAATACAAGTTACAATTAAACTATTAATGACAAAAAAGTTCGAAAAATTATTAACAATAACTAAATAAACAATGTTCTAGTCTATTCGACATGTAAAGTGAGGTGAAAAAAATCGTAAATTTGTATTTCAATTCACTTTATTTCTAGATTGTGTGATATAAATTCAGCCACACTTTTGCCCACACTAAAGTCACATTAGTGCGAATTCGCACCGACCGGATCTTTCAGAATCTCTAATTTGGCCAACAATAACAGACTAAGGCCAGCTGTGGTACGACTCGACGGTATGGGCTATAAAAGGAATTATCGTGGTGGGGAAACCCACGGCAGCTGCCACCTGAGAAATGCCAGCTATTAAAAAAAACGGTGGTGTGAATTCGCACTAGTCTGACCTTTGAGGGTTAAGTATCAGTGTCTTTGCTACTTTTCGATTATTATTGACATTTATTCGAATCATTAAAAAAAGTTACAAAAATTATGTCCTTGATATTTTTTTTTAGGGAGAGAATGTATAATCTAGCCTCAACAATTTGTGACTTCTACTGTACAGAGGATAGCAATAACGGTACAAGTTATGATGACTTTTACAAATTTTTAAGATCGGTATGTTGTATTAATTGTATTAGTTGTATTTTATATTAATTATTTTAAAATACTGAATGCCAAATCTTTTAAAGATCTATATTTTTCATACAAATTTATATTATTATAATCTAAGAATAACCCCATCCTTAAGTATTTCATTTATTTTAGTTCCTTTACTACCTCACTCTTTTATGTTCTACACATTTTAGGGTGAAACGAATATTTTCCTATACTGTTCATATACAGGATTAGGTCTCGACTGCGATAGTGAATTTACACGTATTTTAACAGAAGAGGGTAACTGTTACTCATTCAATATAATGGACAAAAATGATATATTTCGGGATAACCTGTAAGTATCGAATTTTATTTTAAACTTACTACTACCAATTGCTTAAAGTAATCTGAAACCTGCCATCAAAACTCACAGTAAATTACCAAATAAGTCAACAATAAGCATATGAGGCACAGAAAAAATTTTAGACATTCTTCAATCATCAAAAAGAATACAGAGAAGTTGTCATTACTCATGAATCAATTATATAGCGAGTATCAGAATGTACAGGGTTTTGCGGAAATTATTGCGAACTATTTAGATAGAGCATAAAAGATATAGGCGATTTTGCTTATAGACCATTTGTTTTTGAAATACAGATGTCAAAAATGATTTTTACACAATCCGGCTTAGAAGTTTAAAGACTGATTTTATTGTGGCGAAGTGCGTGGCGCTATCTATGTGCGGCCAACAGAACTACGTAGTAGGAAGCTTTCCCAGCGAACGAACAAAATTTCATCAGTATATGTGCATCCATCAAGAAGTTATAACGTTTTACGTGACGCGAGTTTTTGATAGTCATGGAAACCCAATTACCTTAGTTTACGTCTTTAAAAATATACAACGTTTCTTATGGAGGTGAATTGATCTAAATCGGTTTATTTTCTTCCAAAGAATCTACTTTTCAAGTATCACCCATTCGTTTGCAGATACTCTTATATTAAGTACAGAAACTACTTGATTATGACATGTAAATTCATTAATCGTAGAGTTTTTTTTAAATTTAAATATGAGGGGTATAGATGCAAAACTCACATTATCCATAATTTTTCGAATTAGAGTTAGTGACGCTACTTGTTCATCGTGTTGAACTACACCATTTTAAAATTTAGAAGTGGTACAAACTCACATTTTCGTATTTATTTTTAAATTGTAAAATCTGTGAATTGTTTCCCTACGATCTGAAGGTGCCAATTGTGTTTTGCTTCTCGTATTGTTTTGCTTTCCTAGATGGTTGGTTCAGTGTTTTTCTATGAGTTTCTGATTATAAGTAAGATAAGTTTAGTTCTGAAGTTTCATATTTAAATATCGGATATTAGAACTTTTTACTGTCAACATTTTTTGTAGTTTGCAATTTTAGATTCATTATAAAAATATTTCACTTCATCACTGATAATAAAACCGTATTCTAAGTATTTTGTGCAGTTTTTTATTTTGATTATGAACTACCATATTGAATAAAAGTTTTATTGATATTGAGTTTCTTTCAAAGTTCCTTTAACTTCATGAATTTTGGTGTAAAAAATAATATTATGTAGAATAATTTGGAGCACAACTACAATTATCCAAAAAGTTGTATCAAAACTCACATTATCCAAACTTTAATTCACTTTCTTGGAGTCAAATATTGTTGTGCTGTCATTTCACCAATTAAGAAGCAAAGTTAAAGTTCTAATACAATACCAAAAAAAATTAGATCCTTAAGTCACTTAAAAAGTGAGAAATCAGTTATTTCTTCTTCCTGAAAAATTTTAAAAAGTGGATAATGCGAGTTTTGCATCTATACCCCTCATATAAGATATGCCCTGTAAAAAACCAAATCTCAAAAAAGGAATGTTATAAAATGTCACTGGGTGAGGTCATAGTTAGCGACATTCAGCAGATGGTCAAAAACTGAATTGACTTTATTAGTACATTCAAAACCTTATTTGTACTAAATTTTAATGCAATATTTTGTTTTTTTTTTTTTTGGAAAATATGTCACTGTCACTATCACTAAGAACCCAGAAATCCGACGCCATTGGTTATTGCGGAAATTTCATCAACGTCTACGTATTTCGTAAAAAAGGATCTTTATATTTTATTTGAAAAACTAATCGTTTTGAATTATTATTTTTTTAACTTTCGTTAGTTTATTAGACATCGTTTTCTAGAAATGCTATGATTTAAACACAATTTATTAATGAAAATATTGGAAAAATCATTGGTGTAGAAATTTTGTATTTTACTGTAGGTAGCAGGAGGCATTCTATAACATTTCTGACACGAAAAAATGGGCATTTAGAAAATAATATTTGAGAAAAATCCTTTTAAGGAAACTTTAACACCTCATATTTCAAAATGTAAATATTGTCAACTACAGTGTACCGAATGTCCTTTATTTAGCACAATTTAATGTACAGGGTGTCTCTGAAAAGGATGGACAACGCTTGACCACAGGATCCTTGGATGAAAATAAGACTATTTAGCCGAACTTACCTATATACAAAAGTGCACGCCTACTGAGATATAGTCTTCCAGATATAGAACAGATAACCTAGTTTTTTCAAATAATTTGAAAACTGTTTTTCTTAGAAACTTCAAATTTGGTACACATATTTTTTTTATATAAGGGCAATATAAATATAGAATTTGGTGAGAATACATATACAGGATGTTCTCTTGCTAGTGTCTGTGTGTATGTACGCCAATGACGACAGAATTTATATTTTTAAAAATAAGCACTATTCCTCTTACAAAATTTTGATATCGTTTATGGATTTCGAGTAAAATTGCATTTTTTACACATTAAATAATATAAAATCAGTTTAAGATAAATAGAACATTCTAGTACGAGGTGCCATATAACAGAGAAACAAATTCATAACAATAATTAAAAGGTTCTGTGTCAAGCTAGCTGTGATTTAATTTTAGCTTACTTTGTTTTTTATTGCAATTTATACTTTTGCTGAACAAACTGATATGTTAGTAGTTTTGGGTTATTGTGAAGGAAATTGTTGTACTACTGTTCGAACATGTGCCGAAAGATTTCCTAATCGAAGAACTCCAAATCACAAAACAATTTGCTAATGCGGAGAGACGCCTTCGGGAAACAGGACGTTTTTTACCTGTAACATTAAATCGTGGATAATGTACGGCCGGAATTATTCAGCTGGAGGAACAGAAAAGGGTCGAAAAAATTCCTCAAGTAAATAAAAGGCGTTTTAGAGGAAATAATGCCCCTTTAAAATGACCACCTCGATTCCCGGACCTAAACCCATGTAATTATTTCATTTGGGAAGCGTTGAGGACCACAGTTTAAAATAACTTTTCAGTAAATACAGAAAACGAATGTGGGAAAGAATACAACATGAAATTAATGTTATGAGAGGTAATGCACAATTATTGGATAATTTCTAATTTTCGAAGAACTAATCTTTGCGTTTAAGAACAAGAAAGTAACTTTGAGCATTTACTGTAATATTATTTTAATGTGATTACAAATATCAGTTTATTTAAAATGTTAACGTTGCCTTTCTTACATTATTAGTTGAGATTGTTTATTTAAAATATTAGTGTTGATTTTTATTTTATTGATTGATAATACTAATACCAAAAATGTGTAGTTATTTTTTTTAATGTGACGTTTTTTCATTATTATTCCCTGCTTTGAGGCTGCAGTTATAAATTACTTTTTATAAATCGGAATATTTGCCTATATTTAATGTATAAAAAATGCGAATTTTACTCGAAATCCGTAAAGGATATCGAAATTTTGTAAGAGCAAAAAAATCTTGTAAAATAGTGCTTATTTATATAAATTCTGTCGTCATTGGCATACACACAAAAAACTTACGGTATAGCCAGTGGCGCACAGGCACTAGAAATAGAACATCCTGTATATATTTTCTCCAAATTCTATATTTACCTTGCCCTTATATAAAAAATAAGTGTACTAAATTTGAAGTTTCTAAGAAAAATAGTTTCCAAATTATTTGAAAAAAATAGATTATCTATTTAGAAGGCTATATCTCAGGCGTGCACTTTTGTTTATAGGTAAGTTAGGCTAAATAGTCTTATTTTCATCCAAGGAACCTGTGGTCAAGCGTTGTCCATCCTTCAGGGACACCCTGTATACAGTTTACAAACTTTGACACTTCTCAATAACAAATCGTAACCTAACCTTTCAAAAACTCCCTCGCGGCCGTTTATATATTTTTCTTTGTTTCACGAAATTTCCATGGATTTATAAGAACAGTATAGAACAATCTTTAAGAGCATGATAGAAAGAAACAACATATTCTCGAAAGATAAAATATACAAGCAAAGCTCAATAGGCCGAATTTCGCCACAATAGTTTATACAATAAATTACTATTATTTTTAATAATTTGCCTTAAATATAAGAAAAATATCCGATTTACGAGTATATTTGATTCATCTTTGCATGTTGCAGTTCTTAAAAATACGAAAATAAAATATATTATTTCTAATGTTACAGTTGCTTTTTTTTAATTTTCTTCGAATTATTTCAAGAAATTTACATAGTTCGCATAGGAATGTTTGATTTGGGCAACACCGATATTCGAAAAAATGTGGTACTGCAACGCCAATATGTCAACTTTTTCGCTTCTTTCTCTTCTAGATATAATTCCACATATTACAATGAAGCACCCAGTAGAGCAGACTGGAACATTGAGGAGGGCTATATCAATCCAAAAAATGTTGATGCGTATCCACTCAGGGCGTTTCGATCAGGGGCCAAAAATGGATTATTCGTTGTTTTGAAAACTAAACGTGAGGATATCGAATATGACTGTTCCAGCGATGAAAACGGTTATAGGGTAATAGCTTATTTCAATTAGCTTATAGATTAGGTTTTTATTTTTGACGATATTATTTTTTTGTTGATGTCAGACTTTTTCAAAAGATCTTATTAGGAGTTTATTGTTGTATGTTAATATTAAAGATAACATTTATCTTTCTTTTTAAATATAGAGTGTGTCACTAACACCTCAGAAACCCAGAAACACACATGACCATTTTTAATTGTATCATACGATTGTTTCATGACCAATTATGATTTTTTGAAAGAGCAATTTTTCTAGAAACTATTTTTAAAGAATTTTTTTTTTGTGTATGGTTACAAAATATATATGTTTCAAAATTTCAGGTGGCTGTTCATTTGCCGTCTAAGATTCCAGATATTTCAGACTCTTACATCACTGTTCCGTTCAATCAGAGAGTCAGTGGACAGATAGTTCCACATTTAATCAGGACATCATCAGATGTTAAAATGTTCGATCCAATTCAAAGAGACTGCTACTTTCAGTCCGAAAGGTTACTTAAGTTTTTTAAAATCTATAGCCAAGAGAACTGCCTGATCGAATGCAAAACAGAATTTATGTTAAATGAGTGTGGCTGTGTAGGATTCTATATGCCGCGTAAGTTTGTATGCCTTGAGTTGAGTTCTTAAGATTATTACGTTCATCAAAATTAAGAAAACTAGCGAAAATTTTTTGTGTTTAAAGAATGAAATGTTGAATAGATGACATTTGGTAATAACTAAAGTCCATAATTCATAACCACATATCTATAACCTAATATTACACACTCATCAATCCTTTTTTATTGTCTTCACTTACACAGACTTTTTTATAGAATAGTTAAAAGTCACTCACTTGATAGCAGAAACTCGGATTTGAGTAAAATTCACTTACTTTTGTTGCAATAGTTTCACTCATAAAATTTTAGTTTTACGCATACTAAAAGAGTGAAAATTTCACTAAATCGAGGGTGAACACAAATTGATACATTGTTGAGTAAAATTGAGTGAATTTCTGAAACAAAGTGGTATGAAATCTTGGTAATTTAAGCAAATAAAAATGTCTTATATCAAAGTTATGTCTGTGACCACTCCAATAAAGTTTATTCGGTAAATATGACGATAAATTGGCGTTGAGTAACTTTTTAATGAAAATTGCCATACAATATTTATATAAATTACCAATCTTAATTAGACAGGAGAAATCGACTATTAGACTATAATTAGGCATTATGAAGTTAAAAATTAAGTAAATATCTATTCATCTAGAACAATTTTAACGCTGCATAATATTTCCGAATCAGCACAAATCTATGTCCAACAGAAGGCCCAAGTTTTTGATCTGGGGCAACATATTTAATAATATATCCTCCAGGTGTGAAAAATGTAACTAAAGCTTTCTGGGGGCAAAACAAGGCACTTAATCGAATATACGTCAGATATTTGTGGAAAAAGTTATACTTGTATACATGGGCGTGGCTAGGATTTTTGCTTGGGGTGAGCCCAGGGCTGCTGCAAGCTCTATGCAGGCCACTAAAAAAATAAACCTAGCTACGCCCATGCTTGTATATTTCTAAAATACATAGGTTTTCAGAAAAATGGATTTTAATTCTCTATTTGTGAGTATTCTTGTCTAACTAATTTTTTTTTGCTAAATTTGTAACTAAATTAAATATTTTCTTACGATTTAGACCATCAGCAAAGGAATAGGTCTAAAATCGATCCTTGAAGTAATCCAAAACTTATCGGATATAACACGGAAGTTTAATTTTCAATGATGACCATCTGTCGGCAGAAGTATGATTTGAAAAACTCTTACGATTCGTCAAAACCATAAATTTTAGTTTTCAGCAAGGTGTGGTCTAGCAGAAAGCATTGAAAATATCGAGTGAATCAAGTGCTGCAGCATTTCCATCATCAATCAATAGGAATTACTTAGTAGTAGTTAAAATGGAAATCATTAGAGATTTTTGGGAGAAATTTTTAAATATTTGTTGTTTAAATCCACATAGTTTGGATATCCAGTAATATGCCAATAGGATGAGTTTCATGACTCTCAATAACTGTTACAGATGCCAGATTTCATGGTTTTTGAAGTGATTCACAGGAATGTTCATTTAATTTTGTTGTTTTAGATTTTGCTCTACAGAACATCTCTCCAATTTTTGAATTTTTTCATAGTTATAAAATAAAATAATAAATATTTTTATTGTAGGATATAACGATACGCCAGTGTGCATTTTGGAACGTGTTGATTGTATGGAGAATATTGAAGGTATAAAATTCTAATTTCTTATTTAACATCTCTTAATCTTTATTAGTAATTAGATGCATGCATATTGTATAGATTAAACTTGTAGAAGGTATCGTTGAAAATTGAAATTGGATTTAAATGTTTTTTTCTTTTTTTTAGTTTCTTTAATGTAATTCTTAGCAATACCTTAATTCAACTCAAAGTCAATTATTATCCTCTTAATTTCTTAACAATTACAGGTACATAATTATGGAAACATTGAATGTATTCGTAAGATTAACTTTCATCAAAATGTATTGTAAAACAAATTCAAATAACTACCCTGCGGATTAAAGTCCTGTTCAGTATATATTACACCCGCTATAGCTAGTAAGCAAAGCAAATATTATTTGTTAGTAGAATTACCAGACGTAGACCGGCTTAAAATTGTTAATTTTGAATGTAGTTGATATACCCATAACCTATAGTGGTTATATCTTAATTGTTAGTGCTACTCAATGAGTTGTTTTACATTTACTGGCAGAGACATATTTAATCCGTAGGTACCATGAAAGTAAAACTAATGTCGCACTGGGCGAACTAAATTTTTTAACTAAGGATATTGTGGGAAACAACTACTCTGCGAATTAAAGTTAAAAAATTTATTTCTCGTAGTTCGATACTAGTTATAAGGTACTTATATACATATATCTGTTTTCAGCAAATTTTACTATGCTTACTATGAACTTGCAGCTGTTCGCTTATAAAGGAAAAGAGCCAGTAGTAAATTGCGACTGTTTACCTAGTTGTACCGACTTAACTTACAGTTTGGAGATTTCCCAAAGTAATTTTGTGTATAGACCTCATGACACAGCTTTTCAGTTGGATGAAGAGTAAGCTATATTTTTCACAAACTATCATTTACCATCTACTGCCTAATTCCTCATCGGGAACATTTGAGATTTTTAAATGTTCAGCTAATATTTTTTTTTAGTTACGAGTATTCTATTCTGAATTTGTACTTTAAGAGGAATCACATAGAGACGAAAGAAAGGAATGAACTTTATGGATTTTCAGATTTTATTTCTAATTTTGGTGGACTCCTGGGTTTATTCACTGGATTCTCTATGCTTTCTTTTATAGAAATCATATATTTCTTATCCTTGAGAATATGGGGTAATATTAAAATGTACAAGAACTGGAGCGGCAAAAATAAATAATATTATTATTACTTACTAGTAGAAAGTTTAGGTATTATTCTATTAAAACTAAACTACGTATTAACTATTGTTTATATTAATTCTAAAGTAATAAAGGTTATCCAAAATATTGCTTATAATTTACCTAATATATTTATCTATAAAATGCTGTAGACCAGCATCAGTGATGTTCTAAGTGATTGTGTCCGAACCTGAATATACGAATATTTTGAAATAAGGAGGCCACATAAAATTTTATTTGGAAAATATTAATATTGTATTTTTACACAATGTAGATTTTTACTTTTTGATTATTTTACGTCGGCCTATTTCTGCTACTATGGCTAAACACCGACACGACGGCGACGCCAGGAGTTGAGGGTTAGTGATGTTCTACTTGCCTAATATTGTTTAGGCAAGAGACCAACCCTTCCGAGGTACGGTATGTTTTCCTATAGAAACTTCGCGTTTTGTATTATAGTTTCTGTGAATACACCGACATACAGGCCACTAGAAGGTGGACGAGCAGCGCGAGCATTCCCCGGATGATCACCTGTCCAAGTACTAATCAGCGTTGCTTGACTTTTCATATCAGTGACACGAATGCTAACATGCAACATAGAATTACTGCCATTATTCAACATTTATTTGTGTAATAGTTTTTGTGGGAAAAGAGTTTTTTAATAATTATTATAAATATCAAACACAGTAATACCACAGATAGGGCGTTTTGTTAATTTATTATTGCCTCAGAATAAGGAAGATTGTTATGGGTAAAATAGGACGATTAAGCAAGAAAGGCTTTAATCAACTGCTGCTCAAAATTAAATCAGTAGCGCGAGTTCCTACCGTTTTTTCTATCCAAACATTTAATATTATGCCTACGTGAACGTCATTTGTGAAAGTAGAAAATTAATTTTTGCCCCACAAAAAGTGTTTCCGCGCATGGTGGATGTCTACAAAATGGCAACAAAATATCAAAAGCAGTCTCAATGAACTTGGGGAAAAAACTTTTTTTGGTTTTAATTTTTTTACGTGCAAATGGTGCGTCGTACGAGAGTAAGGTTAGGGACCGAATTTGCTGCAAAATAAATGGAGACTTTAAAAATAATTTTAGTTTTTAGAAAAAGCAGTGGCGTACCATTTTTTTCTTCAAAAATGTTTAGTTCAAACCTCGTACGGCAAAGCGGCGTATTGGCAAAGATTTTAAAACATTTTTTACATCAAACAATGCTCCTTAATGATTAATAGGTGTGTACAAAATTTCATACAAATATCTGGAGTGATAAGATAATTATAATAAAAAAGTAAATTTTTTCTTAAAACTGTAACACCCTGTAGTTCAAAAATTAAGAGGTTTAGGACATATGTTGATATTAAGTTTTCTTTTAAAATGACCCAAGGATTCACACCCTTAAGTATCGGCATTCAATTAATAAACACCCTGTATATAAATACTAGGAAAAGTTAAAATATTATTAGCAATAAAATATGGCCTACAGGATTCACCTTGGGAAATACCAACAATTAAACGAATTATTCTTTTTTGGGAGATTAAAATTCTCTTGACACTATGAATATTAACATTACCCCAGACTATAACTATAATGACAATAAATTGTTGAATAATATATGTTAAGAAGCTGTGGAGTATCAAACATTGTTCTAAGTTGCAAGAGTGTATAGTAACCGTAATTTATTATTTAACATATATTATTAATCTGACTTTTCCAGCTCATATCACAGTTGATAAATGTTCCCAGAAACTTGCTTTGTTCTGATAACTCTATTATTTTATTATTCACCGCAACTCGAAGAGGTACATAAATTTTTCGACGAGCGCAAAATTGCATGCATATAGTTTTTTCTGCATTTACGATTAGCATGTTTCTATTACACCATTCCGTAAATTGGCCAGCTAAGGTATTTAGAGAATGTTGCACCTGCTCAGGACTATTTTCATAGGCTGCAAGAGTGATATCATCTGCATATAATATTGTACATTCAGTATTAAGGTTTGAGGGCAGATCATTCATAAAAAATAGAAAAACGAGAGGACCAAGTATCGAGCCTTATGTTACTCCTAGGTCAATGTTTTGAATAGTTGACATATTATTATTTAATTTAACATACATTTTTCTATATTGGAGGTAAGTTATTAACCACACCAAACTAGAATGTGCGAGATATTCAAGTTATTTCCAATTTGTCTAGTGCTAATATTAGGATTTTCATCAATTGAATTTAAAACTGCTTCTTCAACTTCTGGAGCTCTAGTAGTCCGATGGGCAACTTTTAATTGATTATTTGGCTTAAAAGTACCTGTTTCAGCCAACGTTCTATGTATGTTTGAGAATGTTCGTCTATCTGGTATGACTCTGTTCGGGAAACGCTCTTGATATAATCGTTTAGCCTCTGGCGCACTGCCATCAGCCAAGCCATACATGTAATGAATATCTGCCAACTCTTGATTAGTAAACTCAACCATTATCAAATAACACTGTACAGGTATTTTAAGTATCAAAATTGAGTTGAATTAACTGAACTGTCAAAATTAATCAATCACAACAGTAATCAACAACCACAGCCTACTAGGTAATCTTTATATCATGCTTTCTGTTTGACTCAATGTGGGTTAGTATATTGTTCTTTATTTTTTTACTAAAAAACAGTGCAAGATAAGAAAAAAACTCACGGGATCTTTTTTATTACAAAATAAAGCACCATTTATACAATAATTTTTGTTTTTCAAAAATGCAGTGGCGTATAATTTTTTTCATTCAAAATAATGAGGTTGAAGTTAATTGGGACGCCACTGGTTAAAAATGAAAATTCGTTTATTATGCAAAAGACGTGTCTCTGCACCTAGTTTACACATACTAAGTTTTATAAAACTATCTAATTTAGTTTCGGAGTTATTAAAAAAAAACAATTTTACAAACAGATATTCATCACCCTGTATATCAAAAATAAAGCGAAAACGGACCTATGTTTATATGAACTTTTTGTCTTAAAATCACGCACAGATTAACACCCTTCAATATTGACATCCAATTATGAAACACCCTGTATAATAAATTGAACTAAGAAATTGCTTTTCTGTAAAATTTGAATAAATAGGCTTGGAATTTTGCGGAACTCACCCGACGATGTGATAAAGTTGAAAATTTCGTGTTTTAAGGGATGAGACATTAAAAAATACTTAGTATTTATCTTGTGCTCAATTAGTAGAGGGCAATATTGATAACTTATTCATGGATTAGATATGACCTGAACTTTTCTCTTCTTCGTTTATCAATTATTTGTAAATAATAAAAAATGATTGAAATTTTTTAATTCTCAATTTAAAAAAAATCCAATCGTTTTCGAAAGTGTACTGAAAAGTTTATGGACAGCCGCTTATTTGGATATATTTTATTTTAATAAGATTTCTAATTTTCTCTCCAAATTACATTTGGCGATACACTGAAGTTTACTTACACGCTCATATTATCCCAAAAAGTCTGCCAAAAAAAAAGAACTGTTTAAGGTGTTAACGTTTCGGATAAAAAATAAAAATGTTTTCATATTCGGCTAGATATCTCAAAAATTTGTTTATAAGACTTTATCTGAAATATCTTCAAAAGTAAAGAATAAGTGGTAAAAAATTGAATAAAAAAACTTTGAAATTCGAAACTTTTTAATAGCAAAATTGTACAACTTAATTTACATGGTTTATCTTTACTCAAGTACCTACTTATAGAAGTTGAATATTTGGACATTTTGTGTTGTTCTAAGTAATGTTATTTCGTACTTAGATTTAATAGTAGCACTTGCAATATTCTCAACTTCAAATTGACAGATTTAGACATTTTATGTGCAAGATTTTAAAGTGTAAATAAATGTTGAGATAAAATATTCTTTGCAACAAATATGTACAGAAATTTTGTGTAAAAATTTTGTAGTGTAAAAGTGGGTTAGGCTACTTGCCGAGCGAAAATATGGATTCACGTTTGTCGCATGCAATGTTTTTTATTAGATTAATTAACTTTAATCCTAATAGTTTATCTCGTACAGGGTGAGAAAAAATGAATTAATATATTAATAATAATTACCTACTTAGGAAAGTAATACGTATTACTTAAAATATCACAACAGTAGTCTTCATTCTAAATAGGAAACATATTATAATATAATATAATATATATACTTTCTAGTTTTAGGATTAAAGTTCATGATGAATTTCAGGAAACATCTGTCGTTAGACGTTTAACGACAGAATAAAATTCCATCAGTTTGCTTCTGTCAACATTACATAACACAACATTATAGATAATTTGGTTGCTTTTTCCAATAAATCTGATAATAATTAATATGGATTTAGAATTGACACTCTCAGATGCCAAAGCAGCAAACATTTAATTTAATACCGGAAATATAAAAAAAAATGTTCCAATAGATAGGTGTTCCAATGTTTTTTTGGAGTGAAAGTATATGTATACAAACGCAAAATTGTTTTTCCAGGAACTTTTTAATAGCTTATTTCGGCGACTTGACAAAATTATTCGACAGTTTACTTTATGGACATAATAGGTAGGTACTGAGGGTTGTGAATAACTCTTAATATCCATAATAATACGTGATGATAAAAATGCGGCGTCAAAATAACCGCCATTATAATATGGTAATAGTTAATAAAGTAAATACAGGGTGTTTCGCATAAGAACCGACACAAAGCAGGAGCATGTAGTAGACGTCAAGTTTGACGTTTAAATTCATAACCAACTTTTGAATTTTCGATGATTTTAAATAGCACAGCTACAATACGTATTATTAGTTATTCGTGTTTTTGTTGAAAACGGTAAAGATTTTTGAAAACTAACAAGAGTAAGAAAAGTTTTAGAATTAAATTTCCCATAAAATAAAGCAATAATTTTTAAGTCCGGGTTAAAAAATTCTGTCACATTTTAATGGTGCAACTTCCATTATCAACCCTTTAAAATGCCTCAGTTGAACTCTACTTACTGTCGATTTATGCTCTTGGTATACTC